AAAATAAGAACCAAGAGAGATTATGTAAAGGTGCAAATCTCCAATGATGAATGTCATTATATTGTACACCTAAAATGTACCAATAAAATAAAATTTTTTTAAAAAGATGGTAAGTTTTGTGTTGTGTATATTGTATACAAGTTCTGAAAACTACATGTCTGGTTCTGTGTATCCCATGTGCACCTATACTGCTTCTTCAAGGAGAGAAATGAATGGCACCCGACCTTCCAGGACACGGGCTGGGCGCAGGGCCTAGAGCAGACGGAGGACTCAGCCACACCATGCACGGGCCCAGGCAGGCCCTCTCTGGCCTGAGCCATTCCGTTCCCACACCGGGCCAAGGCAGAGACCTGGGGGTCCTTCAGGCGGAACAGCCGTCAAGACAGCCCCACGCCCGACAGTGCTGGTGGGCTCAGAAGGCAACAGCGGTGTCACAGTGACCACGCAGGGTGACCAGAGGCAGGTACCTGGGACTGCACGGGGGAGTACGGGCTTCCGGGCTCTCCGCTCAGCAGGGTCTCACTGTTCATTTTTGTCTTCAGACATGCAATGTACCGACTGCAGAAATCTTTGCAGAGTTCATTCACTTTCTCCAGCTCAAGAAGATGAATGCGTAACACCTGGATGGCTTTTACCATCTAGAAGTGTAGAAAATGAAGACTTTCAGGGGAGAAGAAGTGGTATTCACATATTCAAAGTTATTGCCACACAGGGCGGTCTCTGGTTATCACACGGAAACACTTCCAGCACCGGCAACAGATGGGAAGTTGCAGCAGGTGACTGTCCTGGCCCCACCACCCTGGGCTCTGGGCCACAGCAGTACGCGGAGAACAAGGAGCCCGGTGCCAGCGTGCTGGCCGTGTCCAGCCCGGAGACCACCCGGCCACAGCCTGGCCTCCACTGCCGCGCTGGCCACCAGCTCGCTCTGCTCGGGCACAGCGGCCTCCCACCCTTGCTCTGTCTCCTCCTCTGCATCTGCAACGTAAGCAGGGACAAATGCGAATCCACCCGCTAAGGGCTCTTGATTTGCTGGAGTTCAGTTCATCAACTCTGCCTTTTTTTGATCATGTCAAGTCTAAGAACCCCCTGACTAGCCCTAGATCCCAAAGATTTTTTCTCTTATGAGTTTTCTAAACATTTTATACCTTTCTACGAGGTCACTGGGCTTTGCAGTAATCTGTGGGATGGCAGATACAAAGCCGTTACCACTAGCACCGCCTGCCCAGGAGCCAAGTCACAGCCCCCCTCTGCCTGTGAGGTGATGCATATGCGTCCATGCAACGGGAGAACCATCAGCTGGCAACAGGAATTACCGAGCAGTGAGCTCTGCCAGGCCCTGTGCCAGGCAGAACGCTGGGGCCTGCAGCCTGGCGGGGAGTAAAGGATACTGGTTCCCCTCACCACGGGCCAACAGAGGGATGGAAGCAAGACACAGCCTTGGGGGAGAGACAGGCTCTGCTCATCTCACTCCAGAGACAGGAGACAGACCCAAAGTCACACAGCCCACCTCCACCTCTGCCGGTGGTCAGGACTGAGTACACAAGAAGACTTTTAAAAAGCAAATACCTGGCAGTTTATTAGCAAGAAGAAGTTTGCAAAGACTCTGCTGCTAAGGCCCAAGGGCGCTCTCAGGGAATCTAGCAATGGCACCTGGGGCCTGGTCTGTGTCAACCAAATCTGTAAGGCGGGCAAACACCTGTTGTCCCCTGGCAGGAGGAGGAAGTGGGCACCCTGACCAAGGCTGCTGGTGCTGCACGCCTGCCGCAGGGCTTGGCTGGTTTTGTGGACCCACCACGTGAGCCCCACGCAGCTCTCCACTTCCTCTGGAGAGTGCAGAGGGCCCTGGGCTCTGGAAGCAGGAGGCGGCATGGCACCATGGGAGTGTCAGCCTGAGACACAGCTGTCCTCCAGCCCTGGTCCCAGGTCAGGGCTCAGCTAAGGAAGGAGCTAAGCACAGACACTTGGGTGAGCAGCTGGTCCCAGGGAGCCTTTGAGACACTGCTGACGGAACCCCCAAGAACTTGGGGTGGAACCCAAACTATTTTATTTGCATGTTAAAAGAGAAGGTAACTAGACAGGGGAAGGCCTGAGGTCAATCACATTAAACACTCTGCGAAGCTGGTTATGGGTTCGTTCTCCAGGACTGGGACTGAATGCAGAGCCTTGCTATTGAGCTACATTCCCAATTCCCCCCTTTTTTTGTTACGGGGTCAAACTCGGGAGGTGCTATGACACTGAGCTAAATCCCTACACCCCCTCTTTTTTGTATTTTGTATGAGAGATTTGTTAAGTCACTAAGTTGCCAGGCTATGCTCGAATTTGTGATCTTCCTGCTTCTGCCTCCCCAACTGCTGGGATTATAGGTATGCATCACCACACCTGGCTTGTAAAGTAAGTTATTTTATAATTATACAATTCTCCCCTTGAATTAGTCAGCTTTTCTGTTGCTGGGATACAATACTCCATACCCACAACTTAAAGGAGAGGTTTAATTTGGCTCACATTTTAAGGGATTCAGTCCATGGCCTGCTGGCTCCAAGGCAGAAACATCAGGGCAGAAGAGGCAAAGCTGCTGAATTTGTGGTGGCCAGGAAGCAGAGCAGAGGAGAAGGGGCAGGGACCAGACTCAGCACCCAAGGGCACGCTTCCCCAGATGTGCACCCTTGAACCCTCTGCTAATTTGCTAAGCGTTCCTAATCCAAGGAAGTTGACAGATGAACGGTCACACCCTCTAGCGGAACTACAAGCAATCTGGAGTTCTAAATATAAGTTTAAAGTGTCATGAACAGATTTTAAATTGTGAAAATAAAACATAAAAGAGAAACATTTACTCACTAAGTTGTCAGTTTCTGGATCTTCACAGAAGAAGGGTTTTCCTTCTTTCTCTTGCTTCCTGACAAAGTTCTCGATGTCCACATCAAAACTGGCAGAAGTCGTGCCTTCAGAGCCTTGCGTGGACTGTTCACATTTTTCAAACAACAAAGCTAATAATGGAAACAGGGGATGCCTGGAGAGAAAAGAACAAAGAACAAAAGTATGTTCTCTACCTCCATGTGCATGCTTTGGTTCATACATGTGCATGATTTCAGAGCAGCTTGGTTGAGCTCTAATTCATATGTAACACGATTCACCACTTAAAGTGTAAAATTCAATAGTTTTTTTCAAGCATATTCTAGATCTGTTCCAAATTGAGAACACCAGCATCATTTACAAAAGCAGCCTGTACCCACTGCAGTTACCTCCACTTCTCCCTAAGCCCAGCTGCCAGGAAGCCACTTTCTCTCTATGTATCTGTTCCAGACATTTCATATAGAAGGAAGTATATGTGGCTGTCAGTGTTTGGCTGCTGTCTGCATGTTTTCAGGCCTCACCGATGCTGGACTGTGCATGTGCCAGTCCTTCATTCCTTTTGGTGGAGGCAAGATCCACGGTGAGGACAAGCTAGTTAGTTTTTCTGGTCATCGACTGGTGGACATCGGATTGCAGCTACCTTTCAGCTATCCGGGATGCTGCTGCTCTGGACATCCATGTGCAAGCGCTTGCGGGAGCATGTTGTCATTTCTCTTGGGTGTGTGTGCAGCAGCAGAGGTTCTGGGTCGAATGTAACTCCACTTTTTTTTTTTTTTGGTACTGGGGATCGAACTCGGGTCCTTGTACTCGCACAGCAGGCAGCGAAACCACTGAGCTAAATCCCCGGTCCTAAATGTAACTCTACTTTTAATTTTTGGAGAAGCTGCCAGACTGTTTTACAAAGTAGCCAGACCCTTTCCCCTTCCCATCAGCAGCATACGAGGATTCTAACTTCTCCACATTCTCAGTAACACTGGTGTGTTCCGTTTTTCTTTTTAATTACAGTCACCCTGATGGGTGTGACATGGTGTCTGGTACACAGAAGATGCAGACATGCTCTTGGAGAGAACTCAGACCCCACAGGTCAGGCAGAAACCCTCTGGGGGTACCACACATCGCCTATCCTCCTTCCTCTTTGGCCCCCAAGTCGGTGGCTGTTCATGTTTCGGTTGTGCCCTTCTCTAAAGGATACTGCACACTCACATACATGAAACGCCAGTGTCATGGGTCACCTAGAGTCACAGGGGTCGCCTGAGTTGATAAAACTCACAGACAACACAGAAGCACCTCCGTGTGCAGACAGGACCAGCTACTGGCCGTGCTGCTCAGAAGCGAATGGTGCCGACACTTGCGGTTACTAGGGTCCCAAGCTACAGCAGGGAGAAGCCCTGAGGGCATTACGCTGAGGGAAATAATGTGTCACAGGAAGCCAACTCTTGTGTGATTCCATTTCTATGAGGTATCTAAAGTCCACAAAAAGAAAGTAGAACGGTGGTCAGCAGGCTGTGGGTGAGAAAGGAAAGATCGGCTATTTAATGGATGGCAAACCTATGGCACGAGTGCTGCAGCTAGCATGCAGAGCCCTCTCTTTAGCACTCGAGCCAAGTCGCCCCAGCACTGCAGCATTCAGGTTTGACTGCAGTGTTGGTGCTCTGTGATAAATGAGTGGGTTCTGGGTTGCAGTTTGGGCACTCAGTCTGAAAGGTTTGCCATCCCTGGTACAGTTTCAGATTTGCAAATGAAAAAAATTCTGGAGATCTGTTTCATAACAATGCAACTATATTTCACACTACCATACCACACACTGAAAACCAGTGAAGTGGTGAACTGCAAGGGGCTGAAGGGATAGCTCCGTGGTACAGTGTGTGGCTAGGATAGGTAGAATCCTGGGTTCAATCCCCAGCACTGGGGAAAAAGGAAAAGAAAAAATGGTAAATTGTGTACTATGTTTAGACTTTTTAAAAAACTACAATTTAAAAAAGAAAAAGAAATGGTAATCAATGAAAATAGAGCCAGATGTGGTGGTACACCTGTGTAATCCCAGCACTCCGCAGGCTGAGGCAGGAGGATCACACGAGTTTGAGCCCAGCCTGGGCTACATAGTGAGACCCTGTCCCAAAAAAACCAAACAAAGTGGCCCCCCACGCAGGTTTAGATTCAGGATTTGTTCCTAGTGTCCAAGACTTCGACAAGAAAGCCGATGCTTACCTACAGATCTTGACAGAACTAAAGAAAACGGAAACTCATGAACAGCAAGGCAGAATTGATTAAACACTGCATTGTGTTGCTACAGATTGCTAAAGCAGTGAGCGTTCACCACCTAATAGCAGTCTGACTTGTCTCCAGATACAGTCCTGGAGTTCTCGGACTCCAGCAGTGAAGATGAGTTCTATGGCGCTAATGAGTTCCATCAAAGCAGCTCATCCCCAAAATGCTTAAAAGAGTCTTCTGGATCTGCCTCAGTCTCGAGCCACAGCAGCTGAGGAAACAGCCTAAAGCGCACAGACACCACAGAATCGCTGAGTTCTCCCACATCCAGTGGAACAAGTGATGCTGACCTGTCTGATCCATGATGACAGATGACGACGGGAGGCAGGGTGAGTGGAGGAGCACAAGTGTCATCAAGCACCTCTTGTCACAGGTCAGCCTCAGAATGGATCTTGCTAAAGTCGCTCTTTCAACATTTATCCTTGAAAGAAGATCTCTTCTAGAAATGTATGCTGACCTTTTTGCATATCCGGACCTGTTTGTGAGCATTAGTGACCAGCAGGCTCCCAGGGATCGAATGGCGCAGGCCATGAAATGGTGCCTCTCAGCCTTTCATGCAGGAAGGAAAGGATCAGTCCCCAAAGCCCGACAACCCCATTTTGGGTGGGATCTTCCAGTGTCACTGGACGTTACCAAATGACACCAAGAGAACACCGAGTTATTCAGACGGACCTGTTCCTTGGGTTTCCAAAAACAGTGTAACATTCATGGCTGAGGAGGTTTCCCATCATCCACCAATTTTAGCCTTTGTGCTGAGTGTTAATTTAGCAAGAAGATCCAATGCAGCACTCACATCTGAACCAAATCAAAGTCCTTGGGATGCTAAATGAGGTGCACAACAGAGGGCAGGGTTGTGTCTCCTGTCGAGACAATGACAAACATTACACCCTTAAGTTCCCTAATGGTTATGGAAGGTCTATCCTCACAATGCCCTCAGTGGAATTAGAAGGAGAATGCAGTTTTAATTGTTCCAAAACAGGCTATAGTGCAAATATCATCTTCCACACTAAACCTTTCTGTGGGGGCAAGAAACAGAATTACTGCTGAGATTTTTTTTCTCCAAACAATAAGAAGTCTTTTTGCTCAATTGAAAGGGAATACAATGGTATAGTGTATGCAAAATATGCAACGGGGAAAATACAGTTTTTGCTGATACTAAGGAGTTGCCTGTAATCAAGAAGAAAGTGAGGAAGTTGGAAGATCAGAATGAGTATGAGTCATGCTGCCTTTGGAAGGATGTCACTTTCCATTTAAAAATCAGATACTGATGCAGCAACTGAAGCACAGACTTGAAGGCAAAGAAAGGCAAAGATTTAGTTCTGTGGTTCCGTCGCCTGCCTCACAAGCGCAAGGTCCCAAGTTCGATCCCCAGTACCCCTCCCCACCCCCCCACCCCATGCCAAAAAAAAAGAAAGGCAAAGAGCAGAGGCTGGAGAAAGGAAGGAAAATGAAGTTCAGTGGGAGACAAGAGACAAGGTTGTTCCATGAAGATGGAGAATGCTAGGTTTACGATGAACCATTACTGAAACGTCTTGGTGCTCTGAAGCATTAGGTTGGGAAACAGAGTTCACGCCTGACGACCCAGGTGGTAGCTCTGCCTAATGAAGCAACAAACAATCTTCCTTTGGGAGAATCTCTCGCTTCCTTCTTACTGCAGTGATTCCTTCTCAGGGATGCTCAACTTTCTGATGCAGATGAATAATTAAAGCAGGAAACACTTCTTTTTTCCTCTGGCAGTTACATTTCTGACTGCAGTCCTGAGAAAAACCTCAGGTTTGAAACAAGATGTCTGCTCCTTTTCCAAACCCTGTGCTTTGCAAAGCATTTATAACCCCAAATCTCATACTCTGCGCTCTAGTTCAAGACATGACATACCAAGTGTTTCCTACTTTATGTATCTTGGGTCACACACACACACACACACACACACACACACACACACTCACACACCCTTGATGATGGCAGGTCTTTCATAAATATTCATCTGTAAATACTGGTTCCTCAGAGTTGTTCTAGAAAATTAGCACAATGTATCAAAAATCAAGTGTTAGGAATTTTCATTATTTCATCTATACTTTTATTTTAGAATTGAACTATTAAATTTATCTAAACCTGGATTACAGTTTAATTATTCTTAAGGCTTCATAAAGTAATTTTTCTAACCTTAAAAAAGTTCTTCACCACACCCTCTGAGTTCTAGGGATCTACAGGAGCTACAGACCCCAGACCTGTCCAAAATTCATTTTATTACTGTTATGGTTTGTATCCAGATGTTACCCCAAAGCCTCATGGGTGCTCACAGGTGGGGAGTTCGAAGGTGGCTAGATTAGGGTGCGAAACTGGGATTAAAGGGGTAGGTAATGGAAGCCCCATGCTGGGTGTGGGCACCAATCAATAGGTTTATAGTCTGGGTGGAATATAAAGGGACAGAAAGAAGACAGACAGCGGCTGCTTGCTGCCTTCTGCATGCCACACCATGAGCTGTTTCTTCTCTGCTAGGCCCCTCTGCCACGCCACCCTGCCTTGGAGTCTGCTGTGGACTGAAACCTCTACAAACTGTGAGCCAAAGCAAACCTTTCCTCCTTTCAACTTGTGTATGCCAGGTGTTTTGCCTTAGCAACGAGAAAAATAACCAAGACAATTAGTGTATGCTTTGATACATAACAGTTACAGGGCCGGGGATTTAGCTCAGTGGTTTTGCCACCTGCCTCGCAAGCACAAGGTCCCGAGTTCAACCCCCAGTACAAAAAAACCAAAAAACAACACATAGCAGTTCATTCACCCTGGTAAATCGGTGTGTGTGTCTACCAACAGCTTCCAGTCCCTCCCCTCCCCCTAGGACCCCCTTCCTAATCTCCAAAGAGTCTGTCCCCTGCTTCCTGTCTCTCC